TACATTTGGGAGACCTAGGGAGCTGCCAAGGTGAACAGCCCTGAGTCTAAGACTCACCGTACATACAAATAGCAGGTAACCATGACAAGAATGTACATTTCTGTCCAGTATTAGATGGTAGACTGGTATGGACATTAGATGGACAAGCTTCTTAACTTATTTCCATTGACTTCCCAGCTCTGGTTTAGTTTTTTAAAGGGCAGGCATAAAGTGGCTGATGTGACATCATCTCCTCTTACTCCTCTCCACCTCATCCTGGGGGTCTAGGTGTTTGTTGCTGGGATAGCTCATCCCAGTTGGCATTCCTGGGCTGTGAACTCAAGGCCTGGGCACTTTCCCTGAGAACTTCTGCTCGGGGCTAGCACTCTACAACTTTGAGTCACAGTGCCACTTCCAGAATCTGGCTGGTGAATCCTTGAGCCATACTTCCAGCCTGGCTGTTTGCTGTTTAGTTGGGAGATGGAGCCTCAGAGTGATTTTTTTCTGCCCAGGATGGCTTTGAACTGCAGTGTTTGCCACAAAAAATCCTTTATTTTTTCCAATTAAAGCAACAAGGAGATCAAGTAGAAATAAGTAGAGCTTACCTGTACCATGTCAAGAGTTGACCAACAAATACTTACCAGAGTTGTGTAATGACAAAACTCAATAGATGTTTTTAAACTGCAACTGATTGGCACTCTAGGTACCAACCATTGCCTCTTGGCAGCCTGTTTAAAATGGCTTATATCCTTTTAGAGATACATCAAATTGCAAAATAGTACAGAAATCAAATGACATTTTTTTGCTCATATACCCCTATCATCTGATTTGTGGGGATTAACATTACCGACAGGTAGAAGGAAACACAAGCAAATCAGGACAATGGAGAGGTCTGAGCTTCAGTAGCTCTGAAGTGGCTTGTGCTTTTCACCCTGAATCAGCCCTAGGTCTGGGCTAGGCCCAGCCTGAATGGATTGTCGCACCTCTTGTTGTTTTCCTGCAACATTTCTACACATACTGGTTAAAGACCTGGTTTACACTGGCTTTTGCAGGCTGGTGCCACTGGTTTAGGCAGCAGTGACAACTTTATTTTGTTTCCTGGGCCTTTACCCAGGCACAGGAGCAAACTGCATCTAGTCCCTTGATCTTAAAGAGAGTTGATGGGCACACAGGAGAGAAGATGGAGAAACAAAATGTTAGCCTTCCTAAACCAGCCATGATCAGATGTACATTTAACTTTTAGCATAGATGGACATAAGGAATGACATAAATCACAGTGAACTTAATTTACATTTCAAAGGAGCCATTTTTTTAAATTTCTTTCCTAAATCCCTTTAAAACTGCCTGTTTTTAATTTGGCTTGTAGTCAGGTCTTGGAATTTTCAAAGCAACTCAAATTAAACCACAGCTTCCATTGACTAATATCTTTTATAAACACAGTACTTGGTAACTTGGAAACCATGACCATTTTATGTATTTTACATTAGATAAATAGACAGACATGTCTGTGCACAAATCACAGGGAATGCTTAGATTTTAATATTGGCCATTAAAGGGTTTGGGGGGATTATGATAGAACCAGTTAAAAACCAAAACTTTGCCAACAACCAAAGAACTTAGGAGACAGGACAGGAACATAGAGACAGTGGCATGCCATAATGGACATGAACATAGAGACAGGTGACATGCCATAATGGAGTAGAGAGGTCAGGCGATGGTCACAGAATAGACACAAGACGAAACAGAAGGGTAGAGTCCCAGGTTTTAGACAAACATATAAACATAAAAGAGGACAAAGAAACCAAGACTTCCGGAAGGTTTTTGAGTGACTCCAAAAAGATGTTTGGATAGCATGTCCAGCATTGATGAGCTGGCTGTCAGAGTGGTGGAAAGACCACAGGGCCCTGAAATTTGTCAGGAGGTGTACCTTCCTCTGTAGGGGTTTCCATCCCCTGACAACCAGCCCACCGAGGCCATCCACCAGTGGCTTTAATGAACCCAGATACCCTCCTTGGCACTAGGATTTTGGTGGGACTTTTAAGGTGGGAAAAGGAGAAGCCACACTTGGAAGGACGGAATCTTGGAGCCCATTGACATACTTAATACAGTTAGGAAATAGACCAGAGAGGATAGAAGGAACAAAAACAATGCCAACAAACCAATTCAGCTCCAATGGAAAGCTGAAGTGGGACATCATGGTGACCAGAGAAGAGCGAGTCAGGAGACATTGTGGGGTGTGTAAGAGGCGAGAGCAGTAAAGAGAGAAGCTGGTCCAGTGTGTTAGCCAGCCAGCCACTGTCAGTGATGGATTAGTGACAGAGACAGGGCAGAGGCCCAATTATTTAGGGTCTAGAAGGGAAGAAGGTGTCAGCTAGAGAAGTAGGTTGGGAAATGTAAGGTTTATGCTCACACAGAGGGGCAGGCAGGGAGGCAGGGACAGAGGTTAGACTGAGAATGACCCATTGGTGGTGTAGTCTCAGGCCAAAACAGTCCTGGCATTCCCGGAGTGTCTCTGTCCTTAGGGAGAATAATGGCAGCGAGACTCAGTGGAAGGGTTGTCATCCAGCCCCTATGGCTCAGACCTCCCCAGGCCTTTGGCCAGAGTCTCACAGTAGCCTGGTACCAGGGCTTTAAAAGATTAATTGAGAGACTGGATAAAAGAAAGAACATCACCATAGGAATCTCAAGTCCACTTAGACAAGTCCACTTAGTTTAGAGAATCCCAACCAGCTATGGAGAGGAAGAATGTACAAGAGGAACCACTGATCCAGGATGGCTGGCCCTGGAGAGGGAATCTAGGGGAGGATGGGGGTGTGGTCCCTGAGACCCTGCCTGCATCTCACTTCTCAAGGCACAAGTCTGTCAGCAGGCGTAGAGACAATTTAGTGGGAAATGATCTCCAGTCTGGAGATTATCAGCAAGACAGAGAGAGATGGACAGAGAGATGTTGCTGATACCAGACAAGAGAAGTTAGAGGAAATGGCTAGGAGATTTATAGCAGAGAAGGAATTAGTGGGCAGTGTAAGACAAGTGTGTGTGTGTGGGGGGGGGGAGGTTGGAACAGTGAGGCTAGGAGGGCTTGGAAAGGGGTCTGGAAGGAGTATCAGTGCCACATGGGAGTTAGCCTACAGAGAGAGCGCGAGAGAGGAGGGCTTTGGTCCTGAAGGCTTGGTGGGGAGGAGGAACTGCTGAGAGGATGGGAGGGAGTGAAGTGGGAGAAGGGGCTGGGACAGGGACCACCCAAAGGAGGAGCCATAGGAGGAACTGCTGAAAGGAAGAAGGAAAGGGCAGGGCAAGAGCTGGAGTGGGAGGAAGAGCTGAGGGGGCAGCTGGAGCTGCCACCAGAGTGGGAGGGGGGAGCTGGGGCGGGGTGCTGGCTGGGGAAGGGTTGAGAAGTCATAGGCAATGGCGGCTGTGGCAACGGGCAGCAGGGAAGGCAGGAGGGAGAGAGTTTGAAGACAGTTTGGCCTAGAGAGGTAGAATTTAGTGTGTAAAGTATAAGGGCATAAGTAGAATGGCAGAGAGAGAGGGAGAGAGTGATTTTTAGTCTGGAAGTAAAGAGAGAGTAAAGAAATAAGAAGTCCGGGATGTGCTCTATTTTCCGAGCACTCACAAGAGTTGTATAAATCCCAAATAATGATGGGGTTAAAGGTGCTGTTAAGCGGCCATTTAGATTGGCTGTCTAGGTCGTAATCAAGCCATGTTCAGTCCTACGGATCAATGAGGCGCCTGAGCTTGAGGCCAGGGGCCAGGTGGAGAGAGAGCATATTGGTCAGTATGCACCCCATGGGGGAGTGAGATGGGATCTTAGACTGAGAATTACTCACGGTGACGTGATCTAAGGCCAAAACAATCAAGGTGTGCCCAGAATGTTTCAGTCTTTGGGAGAGTGTGGTGGGAGACAGTGGTAGATTATCACCTGACCCCTGTGCCCTGGAACCTCAGGTCTGAGTCCTCAGCCAGTGTCTCAGACCCTAAGCCTTCAGTTGGAGACTCACAACAGCCTAGTCCCGAGGCTTTTGGGTGTGAGTTAAAGAAAAGTTGGTACTATGAGTCTGAATAAAAGAAAAGAATGACACCATAGGAATCCCAAGTGGAGATGAGTGCAGATGAGTGAAGGCCGATGAATTGGATGTGGGAGAGCCCTGGGTGGCAGGAGCCCATGTGGTGGGTCCTGTTGGTTTGGCAGAAGTCTGGACCCCTGGGGTCACAACTCTGAGGGTAAGAGGGGAACTAGCACAGAGACATTTGAGAACCAGGCTCCTGGGAAGCTTGGATGAGCAAATTCTCCAAGATAAACCTAGTTCCTGGCTAATGTACCTATGATAGAATAAATTAGACTTTGCCAAAAAACCAGGCAGACATCCAGGTACAGAGAGCAAAAAAAGGTTGATTGCCAGGAAAGGGAGAAGTGAAAAGAAGTGCAAGCTATTGTCTGAGGTGACCTATAAAACCTAGGAGGTTTAGGAGGGGCTAGAAGGAGCTAGGAGGCAGAGACCCTGGTGTAAACTTGAGAGCCAAGAGCTTCATCATGGTGGGCTAGGATTTGTGGCTGCAGTCCAAGTATCAGATAAGGGGCCTTGCAGCTGTCTAGACTCTAAGGGGCTCTTGCTGCCTTATATGGTGGTAGCTGCCCCAGAGAAGTGCCATCCCAAGGTAGAGGGGGCTGGAGGCTGATTATTTACTGCCTTTACTAAGTAGGCCTAGTGTTGCCTAGGAAGGGAGCATGCTAAGCTGTGGAAAGGGGAAGAGCGTACTAAGCTATGGGAAGGGAGCTCATTTCACTAACACAATGAAGATGATACAGTAGCTGTTGACTATAGTAACTGCAGAAATGCCAGTTCAAGTATTTAGAGATAAATCATTAAAATAGAGGATGAATGAAGTTAAAAAAAAAACAACAGGAATTGGGCTACTTGGTGTGTCTATGTCTGGAATCCCACTCCTTGTATTTCCAAGCTTGGATTCTCTCTGTAAACCATTCTCATGTAAGAATCTGTTGTCAATTCCTTGTCTTACAGAGCCTCCCACACCCATTGCCCCCCCAGAGCTGCTGGCTGTGGGGGCCACCTACCTGTGGATCAAGCCCAACGCCAATTCCATCATCGGAGATGGTCCCATCATCTTGAAGGAGGTGGAGTACCGTACCACCACGGGCACCTGGGCTGAGACCCACATCGTTGACTCTCCCAACTATAAGCTCTGGCACCTAGACCCTGACGTGGAATACGAGATCCGGGTGCTCCTCACACGGCCCGGTGAAGGGGGCACGGGACCTCCAGGGCCTCCCCTCACCACCAGGACCAAGTGTGCCGGTAAGAACCTCCTTGCGGGCGCCATTTTGACAGCTGAGGATGTTGACCTGACTGGTCTCCTTCTTGCTTTTCTGGGATGGAACATTCCCAGATTTCTCTGGTGTCCACGCATCTTCTTATAAACAGTCAAGTTGGTGTCTTGTCTTGGAGAAACCCCTAGCTGGGACCATGATTCTAAATACTATGGATTTTGACTCTATTGTGTAAAGGCTGTGATTCTGACATGATATCTGATGAGACACTGGCTTCATAGCCGTGAGGATTTCTGGTGCTGTTTGTATGTGTCTCAGGGCTCATGGTTTTGTGCATCTCAGAATTCTTGTCCCTGAGCCTTGGAGAGTTCCTAACTGATTGTGTGCTTATTTAACATTTTTCATGGAGATGACATCCCTGTGTGGTGTGGTTCTGGTGATATAGTTAACAAGTGTTTTGTTCCAGCTGTGCCCCTGAGAGTCCCAGGCTGAGCCTATAACCCTTGGTCATTTCTCTGATAGTTCCTGGTTCTTGCTTTGTCTCTGAGGGGCTCCTGGTGTTACCTATGTCATTGTGACTTTCTGTCTTGAAACAGACCCTGGGATAGTTCCGATGGCTGGGAGGTTCCTTAGTCTGTATTGCTGGGACTCCTGGCTCCCATATAAGTGTCTGGAATGGGACTTTTCCTTGATGGGACTCAAGATTCTACCATATCTCTATGGGCTTCTGGTTCCAGCTGTCTCCCTGATGTTCCTGGATGCTGCAAAAGAGTTTGCTGGCTGGTAATTTGTCTGAGAGAGTTCTTTGGCTCCAGCTATATCCCTGAGGCTTCCTGGCTTTGACTGCATTTCTAATAAGGGACTGTTGGCTAGGGCTGTAACTCTGAGATGTTCTGGGCTCTGACTGGGTATACACACACACAGCTGCAATTTGTATTCTGTTTTTTCACTTTAAATGACCATTTGCCATAACTACTTTTATATATACATGAGGGAATAGAGGCTCAGTATTTTAAAACTTTTTGTCTAAGAATTGGCCAATAGCAGTTAAAATTTGCACTCAGGCTGTCTGATGCTACTGCCCTTGACCTTTGGTCACACCATAGTGGATACATGGGAAGGTGAATGCCATTGTCATGACAGGTGGACCTGGGGCTGCTGCACTGGGATGAGGGATGGGGCTCAGGGAAGCAGGCAATATGGCCACCCAAGAGAAAAGGAGTCACTGGTAGCTTCCAGGTACGAGAGGCAGTGAAGAATCCATCGGTATGGCTACATGGAACAGAAAACAGAGTATAGCACATCACTTCTTCTGTGATGTGACATATGTGCTGCTAAGAGCCATTAACTTGTGCCACATTATGCAATAAAAAACTACAGGGCTGTCTTCCAGACACCAGAGATTCACATGTCTCTAATTCTAGCTACTTCGGAGGCTGGGAACTGGAGGACTGAGGTTGGAAGCCAGGCCTGAAGACTCCATCTCCAAAATCATCATCAGTAAAGTGATGCTGAAGGTGTGGCTCAGGTGACAGGGCACCAGGCAACAACTGCTGGATTTCTTTTTTGAAATAAGGCTGGGGTTTCCCATATTTCATCAGCTTCTCCTTAAAAAATATCAACCTAGCATACATGGTGACACAGTTGTACACATGTCGAATGGCTAAGAAATATGTAAATTATCTAGTACATTTGACTAAGTGTCTTAAGAAAGATCTGAAGTGGGCTTGAGGGAATCAGAACGGTTGCAGCTGTGAGTTGTCTAGAAGGACTCAAAGAAGGCGGTTAGGAAGATGTAGTCGCCAGGCACCCAAGGATTTGGCTCATAGCCCCTGACATGAACTAAGGGCAGTGTGTTGGAGGGATGTGTGCCTGCGTGTCCTGTGTGTGACTCAGTTCAACTGGGTAAAGTTTCCTGCTCTCCACTAAGATTTTCTATGCACGAAATCCTACATAGGGAAGTGCAGAATTTGCATTATGCTTAAATCAATCCCTCAGAGAGGACTTGTTTTGGAACAAATTTAAGTGTTGTGGCAATAGTGGCTATATAACCATTGCAAAGTCTCTCAGCAGGGTTACAGGTAGGAGAGGGAATATTCCATGCTTGTAACTACTTCTTTGAACGTTACTGAACGACTTTGATCAACAGAGATGCCATTTTCTTCATTATTCACAAAAGAGGCCTTTGGTAAAATTCCTCATTCTGGAACCAGATTATGGAGTTTACTATTTTGAAAGGACATAAGGGTAGGTTATTAAACCAGGTAATACCTTATCTGAGCTTTGCAATGCCATAGTCATCTATAAAGATAATTGATTTGATTTTGCTGATGATTCCTCTCTCCTTCCACAGGGTAAATGTGATGGTTTTCAGGGGGTTTGATCTTTATAAATGATATTCAAAGTACTTTAGCAGCCCCTGTGGACTTCTTTCTGATGAACATATAATACATTTAGAAATTCAATCACAAGATGATTGTCTCAATAAAAATCCACAAGCTATTGCAGACAGTTGCCACAACTGTGTAATGGAGATTTTACATGTTGAAAACACAATAGTCTATCACTATAAAAATTATGAGCTAGCATGCCGCTTGCGGTATTATATTACAAGACATGTTGGTGTATAAGTAAGTTACAGCTAAAACCTTGAATAACCCACATTCTACCAAATGTATCATCAAGAAAATAATCTTCCTTCTCTCACTGCCACTGATGGTAGAATGTTCTTTTCTTTGTAATTAATTTTTAAGAGCATTTCAGGGCTGATACTCATTTGTGAATGTTCTTTATTGGTGTTAGTTGTCTGCGTTTTCTCCTCTTTCCTATTCTATTATTAATCACACTGGAAATGTACTCATTATTTTGCAAAATAGAAAAATGAGGGAGTGTGGGGTGGGGAAGTTATAATTTCTGCCCAGAGGGATTTAGAAGCTGGATAAAGAGTCCAACAAAACAGTAGAAGAGGTGAAAACATACATATAAAGTCAGGTATTGAAATAGCATATGTCACAGAGGAAAACCAGGTCATCATGAAAAGAACAATACTCCTGGAATTATCTAAAGCGGAGCTTTCCCAAGCAGTGGGACCCCTTGACCAGCATTATTAGTGTTGCTACATAGTGAATATTTGTGCTTACCCCAAATTCATGTGGTGAAACATAAACTTCAGTGTGCTAGTATTAGGAGGTGGAGCTTTTGAAAGGTGATTAGGTTATAGGTGGAATTTATACCTTTAGAAAAGATACCCCAGAACCAGGTGCTGGTGGCTTACACCTGTAATCCTAGCTACTAAGGAGGCTGAGATCTGAGGATCATGGTTCAAAGCCAGCCCAGTCAGGAAAGTCCATGAGACTCTCATCTCCAACTAACTACCAGAAAACTGGAAGTGGCACTGTGGCTCAAGTGGTACAATGCTAGCCTTGAGCTGAAGAGCTGAGGGACAGCACCCAGGCCCAGAGTTCAAGCCGCACAACTGACAAAAAAAAAAGATACTCCCCGCCAAGGATCAGCATGGTAGTTTATACCTATAATCCCAGCTACATGGAAGCAGAGGTAGAGAGATCACATTCTAAGGCAGGACTGGGTAAAAAGTGCGAGGCAATGAGACCTTATTTGAAAAATAACTAACGTTAATAAAGGGATGGGTGCAAGAATCAAGTAGTTGAGGGCCTGACTAGCAAGCTCAAGGCCCTGAGCTCATTGACAAAAGTTGAGAAACAGAGAAACAGAGAGATGAAGAGAGACCCCAGAAAGTTCCCAGGCTTTATCCATGTGAGAACACAAGAAGAAGATGGTTCTGTGAACCAGGGAGATGGACCTTCACCAGATTTCTAATTAGCTGGCATGTAGACAGTTAGGACTTTCTAGTCTCCTGAACTATCGGAAATCCATTTCTGTTGTTTTATAAAGCAGCCAGTTTGCGCTATTCTATTCTAACAGCTCAAAGGAATTAGGCCAAGTATCCTAGGAACTTGTCAGAAATTCTGACAGTGAGGCCTAAAGCTATGTTCTTGAAGCCCTCTGAGACACATCCCAATGTACCATGCAACATATGTGCCCCCTTGGCAGTATACTCATTTTATAACTTGACACTTACGGTAGCTCTGAAAGTAGGTGGGAGAAACACTGAGACAGGATTACCAGGGAGAGGTCCCACATCCTTGAAGTGCTTATAGCCAAGGCTCAGGACTGAAAGCACCCCTCGCTACATGGTATGGTAGAATTTTGGCCCTGGGAATTGTTTTTTGTGTTTTGATCACAAGAGTCCTTTACAGGTTAGGAATGGATGATAACTGTAGAGATCAGACTAAAACAAGTGGCAGGCTCTGTCCCTTCTATCAAATGAATGTGTATTGAGTCCCTTCTCCCTCCCTGGCACTGGTGAGTGAGGACAGAGACCAGGAGCAGGGAGAAGCATGGTAGTAGTAAGTTAAAAGCTCAAGTAGACCCCAGGACAACAACTCAGCAAGGGTATGTGGAGTTATATTTTACTTCTGCCAGGTCTGACAAGTCACTGGTCAGGTAGATCCTTGGGGCACAGGATGAGGATCCAGCTCTTAAGCAGTTAGTATTGGTTATTATTACCAATCACAGAGCATCCCATAGGAACAATTAGAATTCAGAGAGAGCCAGTTACACTGGAATCTAGGCAGATTCTCACAGGAGTCCAGGGGTGTGGGGATGGGAGAACAGAGGCTTAAGTTGACACCTCAGGGTCTGGTTTAGATGATTGAGAGTTGAGCAGTGGGGCTGTTTTCTGAGATGGGGAAGATACAGAATGGGCAAAAGAGTCCATTCTGGTTTTAGTGTTGTATTTGAAAAGATGAACAGCGGGCAATGGAAATATGAAAATATGGAGCTCAGAATACCCCAGCGGAACTTTGGTTCATGAGAACTACCTGATTTCATCTGGACTTTAGGATCAAAGGGACTTCTTACTACTGAGAAAATGCAATTTAATTCCGTCTTCATGCTCCATTCATTCCTTATTCATTATTTTCTCTCTCTTCTTCATTCTAATCATTC